CATAAGTGTTAACTGTCTGACTGTTAAATACTTGGTGGCAAAGAGATTGCCAGTACACTGCCTATTGAGGCACCACTGCCTATCTAGCATGCAGTGCCCTGTACAGGGGCCTGTGGGCAGCCAGACTGGCATGGCAGCAGAGGGACCTAGGGAACAAACAGGGACTGAACACACTGGAAGCACACAGGAGAGGAATGAGGACCTGCCTCAAACAGCACATGCACAGAAACTGAGGCACTGTCTTATCAATAACTGTTATTTACTGTCAGCCACACACTCCCCAAAATAGTAAAAGTTAATGTCAGCAACAGTCAAGCAGCTGCTTTTGTAGACTTTGCCACCCTATTTACTCCTCTGCTAGCAAAGAAGCAAAACTCTTCTACCTTACAGGTTTATGGTGAACGCAACCAACAGTAACCAAGACAGTGAAACAAACACCTACACAACCAGCCAACTTCTGTCAGGGCACTTATAGGAAACAGGCACCTAACCATGTCCTAACCCAGCCATGCTTAGTACAGCAGTTTGGAGCTGCTGAAATTAACTGGAAAAGCATTGGAAATACTGTGATGGAGAAAAAAAAAAGGAATGTTTCACTTCTATCATTCAGCTTTTCTCGCAGTAAAACTGACTGGCCTAAGCAAGGCACCCAGAGTGCACCAGCAGCGAACAAATGGAGCTGACTGTCCCCCCAACACCCATGAACATAAGTTCAGCCTCGGGCTAAATGTGAAATTTCATTTCGTTCATGGACTTCAGAAACTAATGACCTTCGCAAGATAGACTTCAGTCCTAAACTACCTCCTGGATTCAGAAACCAAAGCGGGTGCTTCCACAGCTACCAGACCTGGAAGCCATATCTTGTGCCTGTTTTCCAACCTGCACATAGCCAGGACTTGTCACAATTACATTATTACTATTCTGATGAGTCGGTTAGACACATACCTCACGTATCCTAAGAGAAAGACCTAATCATCAGGCTAACAAGACAGAAATATGGGATTCACAGAACAAGGGAAGGAGAGCATGACTCCATCTGATTGAACAGAGCCTTCCTCTGGCAGGATGCCTGCATTTTGATCTCTGTTTTGGGCACAGTAATGCAATGGAGGGGAGAGGGAGGGGGAAGAAAAAAGGACAAAAAGGGACAAACGCAGGAATAAAAAGTGCAAACATCATTAGACTTGAAGTGGTCAGGCAGTTGGACACTGTGAGCTTTGAAGGTCCCTTCCAATCTAACTATTCTATTCTATGAGACTGTGAGCTGCAGTCACAGCGTTTCCCATGGAAGTGCCTGAAGCAGAAGGGTGATGTTGCACGCAACACTGCACCAGAGCATAAGCAAAACAGGGCAAGAATTCTACCTTCTTATACAGGCATCAGGTATTATTTCACTAGACTGACTGCTCTCCTTTTTCAGCCAACAACACTGGCATCCCATAAAAGCAGGCACAAAGTCATCTCGTAACACTTTGCACCACACCTATTTTATAGGCACTGGAAAACTGCAGTAGGAAATTCCATTCTTCTACATGAAGTTCTTTTTCACCTACTGTGACTTTATAAAAGGGCAGGTTACAGCCTCACTGCAGCCAGACAAAGCAGCACTAACTTCAGATAGCAAGTAGCCAGGTTTGCACTAGGATTACATCCTGCTGGTGGTACTGTGCTGTTCCCGCAGCAAACTAAGCTGAAATTAAAACCTTTATCAGCATATCCTAATACATAACCATCATGCCTTGAGATTGTGTCAAAAGAAAGTATCAAACAGGATACTAGTATCTCAAGTAATATCTCAATGACAAAAAAAAAAGAAAAACTATAGAAACTGTCATTGAAACTTAAGGATACTAAAATGTGATAAAGAATTTATAAGGCTTCTTTAATTTCAATTTCTTTTATTCCTATAGAAGACCAGTTGAAAAAGAATTCAAACAAATTTTAGAAGTTAGGGGGCATGTGACATACAGTATTTTGTCTGTACTGTTTTATTGTCAAGCAATATTTTACAGCTCTTTGCTCCATATAAGGCAGATCTTAATCTCTGGCTCTTTACTTTTGAACTTCACTTCAAATACTGTGCTAAACTAAGCCCAAGCAACAGTATTCAAAATACACTGACCAAACTTATCAGTATCACAAGTGAAAACCTTGGAAAAATATGTTAGGCAAAAATGAAGTTTGTACAAAACACTCAGGTCAGTAATGCACAGAGCACTAACGTACGCAATCAGAATCATTAATGCTGCCTGAAATTAGCGTTGTCAATAGCATTTTTTTTTTAATCTTATAATGTGTCCTATAGAAGAAAAAAAAGAGCTCCTCCTCTCAGAAACAGACAGAATTTGCATAATGACAAAAAATATCTTATGTAACTTCTTGGAGCACGACTTTAAAGAAGAAAAAATGTCATCTGATGTTGCTATATTACAATTTTTAGGCAATGCTAAAGAGCACAACTGCCCTCTCTGAGGCACTGGAACACATGGCACCCAGGGGAAGCTGCTCACCGACACAAGCAGACTACGTGCAGCACACAGACTACTTTTGAACCCTGCTGTCAGGGTCACCATACTTCAAGCAGCTGCCACCATCCCTTTTTGGCCAGAGCCACAGCAGGCACCCATGGGGCTGGCAGAGCCCCATTCCCAACCCAGTTTGGAGACATCTGTTTCAGCAATATTTCGCAAAGTTCTGCCCTCCCCTAGTCAGGGTATTGAGATTTCACTGCATCGCCTCCTCAGGAACACCTGATGATCAGAAACACCATTTAGCTGTTATTAAAACAAGAGGGCAGTAATTGTAAAGGTTGCATTACTGCCAGCAGTAGAGCAGAGACACATGTTCAGTATGCAGTTAATACATTAACTCATGACAGCTCTGTCCCTCTTCCATAGTCATTACATCCCATAGCAAACTGACTGCCTTGTGCCTACACCTGTGGACCTGGGTAACCTAACACTAATTCAGCAGAAGCAACAAAAGCCTGTTACAGTTCCTGTGGGATTGACCTTGAACTGATGTTAAGTCACTCTACGCAGGGAGTAATGGTATGCCAAGGGCAAAGTCAGAGCCTCAACACTCAATGCAGTCATTCACCTTCAGATAAGAGGGGAGAAAAAATTATCTATTATGACGTTTCTAATGTGATCTTCTCTGTTAGGATATTCTTTCTAGCATAGTCTCAATGACCGCCCTCTTGTGATCTATTTTAGACTTCAGAGAGTTAAACTCAGAACTTGCATTGCAACCTTCATGCCTTGCATGCACTTTGGGTTATGATGCGCTCACCAAAAGGCACAAGAACCATGTCTGCATCGTGCTCTGCCTCTGACAACTTGCTGTCCTTAGAGGGCATGACATATTCAACACCTCAGTTCTACCACTGACAGTAGAACTACACTGGAATCAGCTGCAAGGTTTGAAGTTTCATTGTCAATTTCATTGCTTTCCCATTAAACTAAACCCATTTCTGCTTAATTAGCATTCAGGTGAGGAAGAAGAAGAAAAAAAAGAAAACGAGTGAAAGAAGACCCTTTCAGAAAACTTAAAATTTAAATGTTCTTCATTAGTAGAATGAAGCCCTTCACAGATGTAAGAATACCTTGGAGAGCAGCAGCCGAGCATCATTTTATCCGGCAGCATTTCTTTTTTTGACACTGTTTTGCAATGATGTTAGCCAGTCACACTGTACTTAGGACTCAGACTGGCACACATGAAGTTCACCTTATCTCAAAGCATACTGCTCTTAGAAGAGCCATGCAACGAACATGAAAACAATTACTTGTATTGAACACTTCAACCTTCCTAAATCACAATGTAAATCAGATACGGTGAAGACTCCAGCACGCACCCTGCAAACTAATGACAGACACTTGCAATCAGGTATAATTTTCTTTCAGCAGAAATGATTTCCAACTAACGTCTAGCACCTGACATCCACTGCATATTAAAACCCTCAGAAGGACAGAGTAAATTGGGAAGCTACCCTTCACATCTTCCTGTCGTAATTAGGGTATCCTCCATTCAGCACATTTCATTACTAAACTGATGACACCTCAGAGGAGTAACTTCTAGCAGCTTACATAAACAAAAAAATAAAGCATGTTGCTGTTCAGATGAAGCAAGTGCCTTTAACAGTCAGCATGTGGAGAATGTGCTATACACTCAGGTATTGACCTCTGACATTAAGACCACTAACGCACCAAAGTGACACATGGTGCTGCTTACTGCACTCCACCATGAAGGCGATGTGACTAGAAGATTGAGCAACTTCGTAGATTTTTACTAATGACCTATAAAACATTTATATTGTATTTAAATCACAATTACAGTGCTGGTGCCGAAGTGCAGCAGTGTTGAGCAGAACACACACAAGCTTTAGTAAACTGCAGGCAGGGTTTTTAAAGCACTATGATGTTACAACTCCCTCAAACAAAACTTCCCTCGATGCAGGTCTCACTGTGATTTACGAGCCGTACAGAAACCCAACGAGAGAAAGAACAACTTCAGGGGAAAAAACAACAACAACAAAAAAAGAAAAAACAAGACAGAAAGCAACCAACATCTTATGTCAACTACCGTTATTAATAAGGGTGAAAGAGGCTGTTATAAACTGGAAATATTTAGAAGCCCGGTGTGGCATCAATCTGACCAGAAGTTACATGCAGAGCACTTGTAACGGGTCACACTGGTAATGTCCAAAAGATTGAAAGTTAAAAAATAAATAAATAAGTAAAAAAAAAAAAAAAAAAAAAAGGCTGTCGAACACACCTTTGAGTTTTCAGTGGAAAGGAGAGCGGTGAGTTGGCGAGAGGGATGGTGAGCATCCAGCCACACACCGCCAGACAAACCAAAGTTGGGGGCAGAACTCCACTCCTCTCTGCACAACCTGCTGCCTTCATCACATCGCTGAACTCCCCGCAGCCCGCATGCTCCCACCCGGTACCCCACGCTCGTGCCCGCAACTTTCACAGCCCCAGCCCGCTCATCCCGGCTACCTGAGGCTCGGCGGGCTCGGCCGGCTTCACCAGGTGCTTCTCTCTATAGAGAGACCAGAGGCCGATGTCGGGCAGGAAAATCAGCGCCGCGGTGAAGAGCAGCGTCATTTGCAGAAATCTCTTCTGTTTCCTCTTCATGGCCAAAGCCGGGCTGCCGCCGCGGGGCCGCGTCCTTCCCTCCCCGGCAGAGAAACTTCGCCCGCCTGCCTCACGCCCGCCCGCCCCGCGCCCGGGCGGGGCCGCCCCCCGCGGCGGAGGCGGTGGGGCCGGAGCTGGCCGCCGCTCTCCCCTCCCCGGCTCGGCGCTGAGAGGCGAAGGGGCCGCCCCCGCGGGAGCGCATGGAGCCACCTGCGCGCGGAGCAGCCCGGCTCGGCGCGGGGCGGGACAGCGAAAAGGAATTGGATGGGGGGAATAAAAAAAAAAAAAAAAAAAAAAAAGGCAAAAGAATAACAATAATGACACAAAGCGCGGCCGAGTAATGCGGAAGCGCTAGGGATGCGCGGAGCTGCCTCACATCCCCCTGCCTCCCGGGGCGGGGAGGCGCGGCATCATGAGCTCATCAAGCGCAATTTGCTAAGCAAGAGTTAAAATACATCTATATTTAAAAAAAAAAAAAAAAAAAAAAAAAAAAAAAGCTGGGAGGGCGGTGCGGTGGTACAGCGCTTCTCTCCGCCGGGGGATCGGGTGGCGTGGCTCCCCCAGCACGTGCGGCCGGGATCGGGGCGGGGCGGGACAGGACGGCTCCCGTCTGTCCCCGCCGCGCTCCCTCATGCCGTCGGGACGGCGCATCTCCGCGGATCAATGGAGCCCCGCGGAGGCGGCATGGATGCGGGGCCGCGGGCCGGAGACGAGCATCGCCGCGGCTCAGGGACACCGGGGCTTGCAATTCCCTTTCTAGTCCGTCCTCCTCGGCGCTGCGCGGACCGCGGGAGGAGCTGTGCCGGACCGGGAGCCGTGGGACGTTCCCCCCGCTTCGGGAGTAAATCCGAGAGCTGGAGGTGTCGAGGGCATGTGGTTCTACTGCCTTGTTGCATCATTTGAGCTCCGAGTCCGAGTTCAGCTGCTCGCTCCTAGGTCACCGTTCCCTTTCCTCTAAGCAATACGGGAGAACGCTCGGGTAAGCTCACAGCGAGCCAGTGAGTGCCCTTTCAGCTTAATCTCCTTGAGCAGCAGGGAAGTGTACCCACTTGCAGCATATGTTTAGAACATATGTCATAAAATAACAATACATCTACCTTCCTTTTTTTCTGACCCCTATATAAAATTTATCAGCTGTGGCCCAAATTTATTTTGATGGTTTAAAATATTTCTAAGTGACAAGGTCTAAATCCTAACAGTGAGAACTCTCTTCCTGTGTCCAGAGTGTGTCTCTAGAAATAGCAGGAAGCAGTGTCCTTCCCATGGGTTAGATTGATCTCATCCAACTGCAGAACTGCCTTTTGCAGAAAGCATTTCCTACACATGCATAATACAATAGGATAGGCAGCTAGCAATTATTTTTAGGAGACTAGCTGGAGATAAAGGGAAGCTTGTGGGAGGAACAGAAGTCTGAAGGTGGGGTGGGAGGGAAAAGTGCAATGCTGAGAAATAGGACTAGAGGGGACCTCAGGAGGTCAGCTCCCGCACAGCTCTGCCCCAAGGCACGATCACTGCACCTCTGTCATTCCTGACAAGCGCTGGGCTAACTCATCTAGAAGCCTCCAGTGACAGCACCGCTCCAGCCTCTTCAGCCAGTTTGTTCTGACTTGCAGCTACTAACTTTTCTTTCATGTGTAACCTGAACCTGCTTTGCTGCGATTTCAGGCAATTATACCAAGGATCAGAAGAATATTCTCCTCGGTTTTTACATTGCAAAAGCTCACTTCTTCGCTTAGTGTTCCACAAACAGCCCAGGACATCGCAAACGCTGATGTGTTGTACCATTCACCATGAAGGTATTCTGCTGATCTGCATCTCTCTTGAAGTCCGACATACAAAACTGAGCGTGATACACCACTTGGGTGCTTGTAGGAGAAGGAGGATAATTGTGCACCGTGTGTGCTCTTTTTCTAAGCTTCCATGTGGAGTGCACGCTTTGTTTGCAGCAGCTTCATGCTGTTACCTAATGACTGTTTTGTGAGGGTTTTAAGCTCTGGTTGTTAATGTTTTCCTTGAACCAAATCCCACCTCTTCCATTGTTCCCATCTCTGTTCCTATGGGTGAATACATCACCCTTTTGCCCTGTTTCCACTGCATATTATCATTTTCCTTCCAGAATTTGTCAAGAGCACTTTGTGTTTAAGCCAGTCACATACAAATATAATAAAATCAGTTTGTATTCTTTAAACCAGGCTGTTAGTGTGAACTTGAGTGGATTCAGATCCAGGACAGATAGAGCCTTACAGAGTTTGCAGAAGACAGAATCCCACATTCAATAGTGAGCCACTGCTATTTTATTCTCTGTGCAGTTTCCAGGCAATCCTTTCACTCACCTTCAGTAGCTGCAAGACCTACATGAACTAGTCTTTCTTAGACCAGCATCATGTGCAAGGCTTTGCTCTGCTGTCTTAGTGACAAAGGAGAGACATCAGTATTTTTCTTTCACCCCAGCCAGGCTACAAGGATATCATGGTATCAGGTCTAAAAGAGTTACATTAAAAAGTTTTGTTTGGTTTTCCTGAAGCTGAATCTGCCAAAAAGTAGGAGTATTCACAAAAATCAAAGGACACTAATCTCCTTGCCAGGAATTCCACTTACTTTTCAGCTAGACATTCAGGGCAAGGGAACTTAGGTAGCATGTGGAAGATTTTGATTCAGCTGCCATTTTGTCTGCAGGGATCCAGCCCCAATGTTCTACTCATTGCAAGAAGCATAATAGCTAGAACCATCAATTGCTATAAGTTTGTATAATAATTTAATAGAAAAAGAAGCTGACAGGAAAGATGGGGCATCCTGGAATTCCAACAGCTTGCTTGTTAAGTCCCTCTCTAGAACTAAAAGGGAATGCAAACATTCATATTCACTCTCAGGAGATGGAATTCAATTTCCAAAAAAATGAGAGTAACTTTGTGGTAGCACCTGTCCATAATTCACAAATTCAGGTCTCCTTTGTGAAGAATAAAGGCACTGTTTCAGCAAATATTTTTTTCCACACAATCGTAAGCCATCTAGCCATAATAAGAACTGCTGAGATTTTAAGATGCTAGTGAAACTTAAAGGAGAAAAAAGTAAAGAAAAAGAAACCTTAAAGTCCTTGCTTGGTGATTTAGAAGCTTCAGCCACACATCAACACAAGTGACAATAATGTATGCTTGCCCTAGAAAAACTTGCAGTAGGATATAGTTTCTTAAGGGGGAATACCTTCAGAACTTAAAATATTTGCTGTTTGGAATCTTCAGCCATATATTAAAAAGAACAATAAAGGTGCATTATAAGACTCTGTATACTTTAGCTCCATAATTAAGTGGATATGCTTTTATATCTGCTCCTACAGGTGCTTTTAAGACAAAACGCCCACCAAGACTTCTGTTACAACTCAGAACCAGAAAACAGAACAGATTACAGAGCGCCCTGGTGCGGATGGGAGCTTTCCAGGGAGATGAGAAACTTTCCTGCTATGCGTTTGTACCTAGAAGCTGAACTCAGACAGCATGTAAAGTGCATTCATTAAGATCACAGCTTTACATGCAGAGTTACTCGCAAGACTCCCACTCACAGCTGATCAATACGCTGCATGCAGGAAAGCTACAACAGTGCATAGCTGCAGCAGCTCAACTGCACTTGTGTGGAATAGAAAGATCCCATCATTGTGATCCCTGTTACAAACAGCAGAGGTTTATGCACTCTAAATTAAAAATAAATCTAGTAAAACGATGATTAATGGTCTGTAATATTACTATATAAAAGAGTGAATAAAGATAAGGGAATAGGAGTTTGTTTTGATTACAACATTTACCTCCAGTGTTACAGTTGGTATTACAGTTGGAAATATTATCGTGGTGAAAATGGGAAAAGAAACAGAGAAGAAACACTCACGCGTATCCAGAGTTCACAGGAAAGACTCCACAGAAGAGGGACCTCCAAAAAGAGATCCTTCCCCAGTTGCAGTCATCCCTTAAATGGGATCTAAGACAGGTGCAGCCAGACTCCATCACTTCCAGTCACGTAGGTGAATTGCCTTCACCTATTTTCCCATGGCTGACTCAGTCTTTTCCTCAGGTGATCAATCAGTGGTTCAGGCCATGACTCAACAGTTTCTATACACTCCAGGTAACTCAGGATGTAAAATAGTTATTCAGCTTAGCTATTACAGAACATTTTCAAAGCCAGGATGAGGGGGAAAGAGTTCTTTTCTTCTACTCCTTCAAGCCCTATCTGGAGAGGTCTGTTGTTCTGATATTTAGGGCACTGACACACTTTTGTCATGGCTGTTTTTCATCCTCAGACCTCCAAAGGTTTTTCACGGCACATCAGATACTCCCTCACTTAACCTTGACTAAAACCTCCAGGCAGACACATGACACTGGTAGCCCACTAGAAATGGAAATTTGTTGTGATAGGAAGGAACACCTTAACAAAAGTTCAAAAATCCAAAATCCTCCAAACTCCTGCAGAAAACATACATTCTCAATGTATTCTGCAGAGGAAACTTTCAATGTATTTACCTCAAAACCCCAAGTGATTGATTATATATATACTGGTTATAAATAACATCACATGTAGCAGTTTTTTTTCTTATTGATCTCTATTATTTGGCCGAGGAACTTCTGCTAAGGAGAAGGAGAAGCTTAGGAACCCTCCTACTCATATGGGAAATATAAAAGTTCAGCTCCCAGAGAAAAACACAAGAGGAGTTTAAGTCCCTTTTGCCAAAAGTTTTGGATCTTGACTTGTATTTTTAAGATAATAGGTTTGCCAACATTACATGGAATAAACAAAAAAACAAACAAAAAAAACCAACAAAAATACTTGAGAAGTATCATGCAAACAGTTCTTAAAGTCTTAATTCTAATAAATCAGAAGAAATCTTCTTTTTAGCTGGTGGAGATTTTCCAGTCAGAGTACACCTGAAAATACATCAGCTCCATAGAAAGCTTATTAGAGGCTAAAATAATGAAATTATATGAAAAGTTTCTTTGAGTGTCTGTAAAAATCTTTGAGATTTAGAAAACTATTTCATTCCTACTCTAAAATTCCAACATTTAGTTTA